AGTAAGAATATGAATTATTTTTGTGTTAAATAATAATAACATTTTATGTATCAAGGGTTGGGTACATTATATTAAAACAAGTTTGAATATGCAAATCAGCAAGTCACATAAGAATACAGCCAACATAAAGACACGTATTAGAACAGCCTCTTGGCATTGTTTGTCATTATGTAAGTACTATGAAAGTACCAAAATTGATGGTTTGGGGAAGATATGTAATATTTCTTTGATTAAAAATATTCATAAACTAAAATCATAGAGATGCATTCCGATCGCGGATTTAGTATTTCCAAGACGGAGATATCCCTTGTACTTAATGACAGTGGAAAACAAAGGAACATGAAACAACTTGGGATACCAGGATCACCCAGAAAGAGACCTGCAACAAGTCGCACCCCAGCCATGATAAGAAAAAATGTGATATCTTATTTGTTTGCAATTAAGCACAAAGCTACACAATGAGATATCTGTGATCTGCCTACCACAGGTATCTAGTGTTGGAAGTCCACAGACATACAGCTACCACTGGGGGGCATAGATATCTTGTAACAAGTGAGAATCCACGAACACAAAGATCAGAGGAAAAGCAGTCCTCGTACCTCAGGGAACAGTACGCAACACAAATAACAAATATATTCATCTGGAAATGAAGCCAACAGGGTGAAGATTTATTAAAATAAGGTTTCCAACCATACCTTTACTTCAATAATTGCATACCTCAAGCAGCTGGAGAATGAAACAAATATTCGTGCTGTACCATACAAAGAATACATGGATTTCTGTGCGATCAGACTGTTGAAATGGGTGTTTGGAAGCCGTCGTCCTAACACACTAGTAACGTGTAGTGTGGTTTGGACATAACAATATTACGACGGAACCTTTTGCAGTGTAATCTGCGCTGCATAGCTTTTTCTATTATGACTTACAGTCGTCAGATAGAGCATGATCGGACATGGCAACATTGACTAGTAACAATGTGTGGGGGTTACAAAATCGTTTTAATATAACGTTCTTAACCTCTGTAGTAACAACGCTGTTGATTTTAGTAATAAAGCTGTTTGAATTCCCCTGTTATAATGGATAATTGGTGCTACATTTTAAATATACACTGTTTCTTTACATTATTATATCAGCTCCTATAGTAGTTTTATGCATACTTTAGGAAAATTTAAATCATGTATACAGGGAGAATTTAAAATGCTAATTAGGAAGTGCTCCAGAAAGGTTAAGCAACAGCAGGAGTGTGTGCTTATTATTATCTGATTAGCATACATTCTACAAAACAAGTTTACTTCTTCTGTTTGAATGTCATTTAAACATCGACAGTTTAAGCACTTATGTATGAATATTTTAACCTGTACAATCTTTATTATGATTAAACAAAAACTAGCTACTCAAATTACTAAATCATTGTATCTACCTTTTGAGATCTATTCAACCTTTTAAGTTGAATATCAGTCGACTTGCTCCATTGATATACAGTCTTCGCCAAAATGTTTGCATATTTTGTAACAAATAAGATCATTATTATTAATATGGAATACAAATACACTTAACGCTGTCAAACGCTGAGAAATGCATGTTATATTAAAGATCTACATATGTAATTTGTATAATGAGACAGATTCTATGGATATCATGAACGATTTGTTAGAACAGCAAATAATTCTATCAGACACCTTAGAAAGATGTCTAGTTCAGCATTTCGCCTATCACAGCAAAATCTTACCAAAACATATGTAATGATAAAGTATAACATCGAATTATTATAAATAGCACCTGTAACCATATATGAATTCATATTAAACATTCAGTACTTGGTTGGTCCTCCTCGTGCTGTAATAACCTCCGAATGGCAATGTGGCATGCTGTCGATGAGGTTATTGATGAATTTCATCTTGATTTCATCCCAACTTGTCACTAAAAGGCGCTGACCTGCTTGTTTAGCAATTTCCGGCACAGTTCTGCCCAACAGTTCTCAAATGGATTACAACCTGGAGACTTTGCTAGCCTTGGCGATCTTGTAACATCCTCTTGGTCAAGATAATCCTGTACAATACGCGCACTGTGGGCAGTGACATTGTCATCCTGGAACACAGTTATTGCCAAACATTGCCCTAACATATGGCAGAAATATCGTCTCCATGTGATGTCTCTAGTAGACGTCATTGACGTTTCCCTGGAGGATATAAAGAACAGTTTTCTACCATGACGAATAGCTGCACAAACATGTGCTGCACCATTTCCTATTTGTTTTCTGTGGAAAAGACAGTCTTCCCTCATCTGTTCTCCAGTCAAACGACGAACACAAACCCTACCATCAACTTTATCGAGCCGAAAACAGGATTCATGTGAAAAGATATGTCGCTAGTGTCCTAACTGTAAGTTGACATGCTGTCTTGCCAAAGTAACACGGTGATGGCTGTGAATCCTGGTTAATATCGTCTTGTAGATAGCCTTTTTAAAATAACCTTGTTTGGTCAGTCTCCTATTCACCGTTCTTCTGGATACCCTAGAATGAATGTGTTCACGCAATTCTTGTCGTAAAATGTTGCAAGAGTTCTTTAGACCTTGACATGTTAACCTGATCAAACCATGCTCATCTCGGGCAGTAAATTTTTGGCGTATACCAGCAGACTTTCCTGGAACAACATTTCATGTAGTCTGATGACGTTTTAGGATTCTGGATATACAGGACATTAGGGGCCCGTTTGCTTCATACTATTTCTGGACAGTCGAACAATTTGACGTTCTATAACTTATGGCTGGTGACGAGTCATGACTCTACATCAAGTACAGAGAAATTGTATGAACAAAGCGTTGATCTATTTCAAACAAGATTATACCAAAAAAACAGGTGTGTATGTGTGTTTTGACGAACAAATGCTCAAAACAACTTATACAGACAAGAATAACAACTCGTACATGTTTGTACGATCATACGCTGCCTTCTCTGTTACTACTCAGACATTTACTCGATAATTACTCCATGCATTTAGAGAATAACATCAATACAGAATAGTATGCAAACATTTTGGCCAAGATTGTAGTAGCGAAAGTATTGTATCTAGAGTTGCTTATCTAAATAGTTAATCATATTAATTAGACATAGCAACAAATTGGTACATTTCTTAAATATATAATGTCTTAGTTATACATATTTATAGATACGGTTTATTTTGCCGTTGTTGTTTAGAATTTTCACTTAAACTACACAAGAGTTATCTGCACTTAACCATTCGTAATTTTGATCTACTGTTTTTTTTTTTCTAAAGAATAATAGAATGTCGTTTTTATACCGCACTAATGGCCACAAATTGTAGAGCGCTTATTTTGCGTCAACAGACCAAGAAACCGTGAATATTTGGATTCACAGTCCGGACATGCTAACTACTAGGCTACTACCAGCCTAGGTTTGAATTATCAAGTGAAAGCACAAAATTTGTAAATTTTAAAAACTTATGTTGCTTAAATTAACTAAATTGAATAATCACTTATTAATTTGTTGTGTTGAGCTCTGTCACGGAAGATTGAAAGGACTTCAGTTAATACTTGGAATGTTGTAACGACCTTTATTGTAGATAAGTTCACAACTACTGTAGTTGTTGGAAAGTTTTATTGTTAGTCTTTACATAGTTAACCCTTCAAAGTGCTTTCAGTGTCAAAGATTTGGACACATCACATCTCACTGCTGCAGTCGCGTTAGGTGCTCCACTTGCGCTGTTATCACTCATACTCTGAATAAACTGGAACTAAGCAACGCTTTGCCAAGCAAAAGTATGTATGTATCGTGAACATAAATGTCTTTTGGCGAGGGGTGTAGAATATTTATCTACTTTAGAATATGTTTGTTTTATTATTATCTAGTTTGGGTAGAATGGCTTGCGTTTTCTATATTAGGTCCTTTCGTATGGTTAAATACCTTTCAATTTCGTGATCACACAAGTATTTTTGAAGTTTATTTCATTAATATTATAAACTTGCTAGAGGTGTTTGTCTAGAAATGTAAGTACGTTTATGTTTTTTCTAACATCCAGAAGACTTCCAACAGACTCTCAGAACTCACTGGTTTCTGTCCTCGCCACTAATTTTGGTCTTCTGCTATGGGATGTTTTACGTATCAGCATCTCCCCTTCCTATCTTATAAGTTTCTGTCTCTATTCTCATCAGTAGGATAAATAATTTTGTTTTACTTTGATCATCTTCATCTTGATACTTGTGGCTTATCTTCCACGGTAAGCTGGGAACTATTGCTCATTTTCTTCTTTAATGTCCTCGGTATGTATTCAACTGATTCTCTTAATAGTTCTCCATCAACTAAAACTTGAATTTGTGTGACCTATTTGTATTGACCAACAACAACTCTTAACCCTAGTTTCCATGTTTCATCTTAGATTATTTACTCTGCCTTAATTGTTTCTTTCATTCATATACCAAGGTGTCTTTCTATATTCTTGATGTCTCTTCCTTTTGGTATGCTGTAATAGAATGATGAAGTGTTACTGAATAGTAACACTGATAGGTAAAAATGCCAGTCATCAATAAAGAATGAAGACATTTCAACTTGGTGTAGCGACCCTTTCCACAGATTCCCATCCCAACCAGTAATTGGAGTTTTGTGGTGTAGAATGGTAGACAGGCACAAGAAATAAATATCTATGTTTTCATTTTAATTTCTAGAATTTTTGTTTAAACTGATTTTTTAAAGTTTTAGCCGTATAATATTTAAACATCTACTGGATACCTCGAGTACTTTTAAGTTTTGATTACTGTAGTTACAATCAACTATAACATTAAATTTGATTTTCCACGAACTCCTTATGAGATAATATGACGTATTGTAAAAAAAAATGTATCACGACTCATTTTTGTATATTTTATAATGATTAGTTTTTGGCAGAATTGTTTACAAGGTTTGAGTTTTGTTCTTGTAATATGGAATAAGTGTAAAACTGTAGTATGTATAGATTATTCCATTAAGATATAAGGAACAAGTAATATTATAAACAGCTCGATTGACTCTCCTTTTATTCACAAACATATAAGATACAAACGTAAAACAATCCACTGCTTACTCAGCATATTTTTCTTAACTGCCTTTCTAATAACAATCTACATCAAGTAAACAAACATACATCAGTGTTAGAGATCAAATACCTGGAAAAATGATAATACATAAAAAAAGGTTGTATAAAGTAGTGCAGTAAAAACTAACAATGCCTGTTAACTGAAAACTAATATTAGGAGTACCTAAATATTAACTGACAAACTTGAATAAATCATTTATTAGTGTGAAAGCTTAGTGGTCTCCATTTTTCCCCTGTATATAGAGCCCTTTTCTCTGTGTTATAATAATAAATTAACGTTCCTACAGCAAAGTTTATATACGTTTTCTATCGATATATGAATTATTTAACTTCGGATTACTAGAAGTAATTATCATAACATACAATCGTATTTACGCTGTACTGAAACAGGTGGGTCAGAAGTAATTTCTACACAAAATCCAGAAAGAAATATTCATGTTAGAAACACTACACGGACGACCAGCGCCATTTGTTATTTTCTATCAGTAAAAATATCAGTCATTAATAAAGAATGAAATATATATATATATATATAATATTGAATAACACACTGATAATTTCAACCAGTTTTAGCTATTTCCATCTACAATAAAAATATCAAACACGGATAAAACTTGACTATTCTACAATACATGCAATAAAACTATACAATCAGACATGCCTTTGAATCATGGTTAAGTACGAGTGTTAAAACTGAACTAAACTATTAGTGAATACTACTAACACCACTTAAAAAATATATATATAAACATACAACATGTGGATATATTGATCTGGAACAAACATACGACAAAAACATCGAAATATATACTTGATTACTTCGAAACGAAAAACGGATAAATAAAAATACGTAATATAAAATTCGTAACATCTCATTGTGGGTTGAATTTCTTATTAAACTTACTTGATTGCAAAGTATGGTTATTGGAAGTTATTCTGCAGGTCGCCTTCTATAGATCTCAGTAACATAGTCTAGAATAGTTCGTATTGTTCAGTGTACAATTATAGTTCATGCCATTTAAGGTTATGAAATTAATGAAAATTTAACAAAATAAAAACTTGTATAATATTATTACAATTGTTGCATTATCCTATTATTTCTTGTTTATTTGTTTGTCTTCTAGTTTACTTTATCCTTTTATTGTGTATTCTAATTACTCTTTATAATATTTTTAAACTTTATAAGTTTTGTACCGAAACGTTCAAGAATTAAACGTTTCTTACTGTACACACACACGTGTCAAATGTTCGTTGTTGTTGCCGTCGTTCTACTCTTCATCAAGAACATTTCAATGGAGAAATAACGGCATTTTAAGTATATAATTTTACTATTTGAATAGTTGTTTAAATACTTGTTTAACAACAAGTAAAAGCCTGGAATGGTCTATTCTTTTATCGGGGATGTGTCTGTGAGTATGACTTTTACTATGATTACCCACACCCCCTTCCCTACCGTTTTAGAATCTGCATAAGAATCACTTGGCGTGTATTTGATCTTGCAGTTTCAAGCTTATGTCGTAATCTATATTTTTAATATTATAATTTATTTGTTTACTGGAAGGAAATACGGGTCATAATGATGACGTTAATATCGAAAAGTTTAATAAAGTAGGTCTACAATACCTAGAAAGTTTTAAAGATTTTGACATTAAAGATGACGTTGAGATCGAAAAGTTTGATGAGATAGGCCAAGAATACTTAAAATGTTCTAAAATATTTTGACATAAATGATGACGCTAAGATTAAAAAGTTTAGAAAGATAGGCCTACAACACCTAGGAAGTTCTTAAAGATTTTGTCAAATTATTTTTCCCCCACCCCAGTGGCATAGCGGTATGTCTTCGGACTTAAACGCTAGAAACCGGGTTTCGATACCCGTGGTAGGCAGAACACAGATAGCCCTTTGTGTAGCTTTGTGCTTAATTTCAAACAAACAAACGAACAAATTCTTTTAGAGCTTTCTCGGTGTTCTAGGCCTATCTTATTAAACTTATCGATCTTAAAGCCGCCATTAAGAACCGCGGCTCCCTTTAGCAAATAAACAAATTATAACATTAAAATATAGCTAATAACAAGAAAATTGACAAATTAGGGAAGCTTATATGTCTGCTCTTTATACTATTTACCATAGATAAATTATTTGCATGATAGTACCTAAAAAACACGCAACAGGGAATCCTACCAGTATTTTTAGATTTAGATTTACTCTTTCTTTAATGTCAATTTACCTGTTGCTAAGTCTATTATTTTACAATATCCGATATATGGCTTTTCGCTACAATCTTTGTTTAGATAGTTGTAAATTCCAATGTTGTTAGAATGTTTATTTTGCGCATGCTTCTTAGCTCTGGTAGGTAGGTTTCGCGTTGTTGACCCAATGTAGATATGCTTACAGCAAGGGCATGTGTATTGATATACCACAAGTAACTTTTTTGAAGGAGGTATTTTGTCTTTGGAAAGGAAGAAATTACATATTTATTTGTTCGGTTTGAAAATCACTATTAGGCTGACTTAGGGATAAGTTGATTGCAGAATGTTCTTGATTTTCTTTTTAGTTTGAGTCCCTCGATGGGACAGCAGTAAGTCTACGGAATTACAACACTTAACTCCGGGGTTCGATTCCTCGCAGTTGACACAACAGATAGCCCTATGTGGTTTTGCTACAAAACACAAACAAATAAACAACTTTTTACTTTGATGCCAGGAGAACCAGTGAAGGTTAACACCAAGATGAAAGAACATTTGGGAACGTTGAAGTCTGGAATCTTGGGGTTATAAACTTTATAAATATATTCAAAATTACTTTTGTTGATATATGGTAGAGGGAAGGCATTGTTAATCAAATATTTTTTTATCCTGATTACTTCAACATGAATTTTCAACCATCTAAACAAAGACTGTAGCGAAAAGCCAAACGTAGAATACTTTAAATAATAGGCTCAGCAACAGATGAATGGACGTTAAGGAAAATAGGAAACCCTCCTAATTTGAAATATAAAACCAAAGCTGAACAACCAACTAAAAGCTCCACTGCTTCATATTTACTACATCAACAGTGAATCCTGGTCATAATGAACATCATGTCAGAATATCCTGTATTAGTGCTATAATACTCTGGTAAGAATAACATTTTACATATTTCAATAATACAAATTAAAGACTTGAAATATCTGTTTGCGACCAAGCGACATTTGTTTTGCAACAAGAACCCGAACATTTTAAAGACAAAAGGATCAAATTATAATACTGTACAAAAAATTCTTTATGAAAAAATACTGAAAAATAACAGAATTAAACAAGAAAACTCCTCACGCTTCAGCTCACTTACACGAAAATTGCTTGAATACTGGTACAATTATAAAGAGAACAAGATATATCTTAAACCAAATGCCTCTACAGAGATTTTTTATTTCATTTGATAACTCGTTCATTAAAAATTTCATAAGGAAATTACGCAGTTTACATACGTTTTTAGTGTCACAAATTACTTTTCTTTCTTTTGATATTGATCAATTACGTATACAACATGTATATATATATCACTATATCCCTTAATTCTTAAACTGATTTAGTTTCGAAACTTCACATTACACATTTTCTTTTCTTTAGATATCTACAATTGCATTAAAAATGTTTAAGTGTTATATATCAATATTTGAAACAAAATATAATGTTCAAAGAAATATGTGAAAACAGCATTTCGAGTAATTTTAGATGACGAACAAACAGACATCGGACAATACATTGTAGAACACATTTATTTTATATTTCCTATGTGTTAGCAAAGGTTTTGTATTTGAATAATAAAATCGAAATTTTACGTACTCAGGAATGACGTCAAACTTTTTTAAAGAAATTTGTTTTCATTTTACAACTTTGACTAAACGATTGGTACAACTTGTATTACGTAGTTGATGCTTAAATACAACGTCAAAGACAAAGTTATAGGTCTCGCTATACTAATAACCCAATAAGCAACTTTTTTCTTTTTCTTTTTTCGCTAGCATGTTAATTCGTTACTAGTAACACACGAATCTCAGTCTACATATTTAGTTTTTATCATTTACATTTTGACGTTGTTTCTACAAATCACATTTCTCCAGAGTTCAGCATCCGTGGATCTGAGAGATCATGCTTTCCATAAAGATATGATTATAGCCTTGCTCATGCTGACGCAGAGACAGATGTTCCAAAACACTTGAATTGGGTGCATTCACAATGCTAACATTACAAGGAAGAATTTGGCAATTGTTGTTGTTGATAGAGTTCGGGTTCCCAAAAAACGTTACTCCTCTAGTAGCAGCAGCATTCTCTAGAGGATATTGCATTAATCCACGAATCACAAAGGGTCCTTGAATAAAGAAAAAAAAAAGGTCACCTAATTGGTATATTAAGTATATTTACAATTACTCTTGATAACAAAACTAGTATTATTCTTTAATCAAGAAACAAAATCAATATGTAAAACAGATGATAAATAAGTTTCCATTTTTCCTCCATTTCAGGATTCTGAAAGAAAACAATGTGTTCGCTGTTTCTTCAGTTGCTCTGTATAAACAAATCTGACCTCACATTACAAAAGGCTATAAACAACAACAATGGTTAATAATAAATGTCACTTCGTTTACCAATCTATACATCCCAACTGAGCTGTAATGTTAAGTAGTTCAACTAGAACTGTAAAAAAATGTAGCCTCAACTTTATTTTCTGAAAAGAAAGGCGAAAATATGCATGCACTTTAATACCAATTAACTGAAGTGCGTGTGTGATTGAACTAATTTATTTTAGCCCTAACCCCTAAAGTAAACATTTTTGTAACTTTTAATAACAAAGTCTACTATAACAATCGTTCTACTTCTACCGCGTTACGTAAAAGTAAGGTAAAAAAGAACGTAAAGTTAGAAAGCATTTGGCTGAGTAC